TGATACCAATTTGTTGTTTTTAATCCAACCTGCAACCACACAACAAAGGTTAATGAAGATTAAATCAAATAAATGTAATGGAATTCAAGAAACCAAAATGAAGCAGTGAACTAAATGAAATGCAGAAACTGAAACTTAATGGAAGAAAATGAAACGAAATCCCCCTTTTTAAATCCGGCTCAGAAATCTTCGACCCAACACCACAAAGGTAACTTCAATTGGGAGACTTTTTCATTCACGAAGAAGAAAAGGCACACAAAGGCACACCACAAAGGTCGACTTCGGTTTTCACAGAGAAGGAAGTCTCTTTTTTCTTTTGCAGAAAAGTTCTCACACTAAGAAGAAGAAGGCAGCCAGCTTCTCTCTTTTTCTTTAAATTGGTTGAGTTTTTTGGATATATAAAACTCTTGTATGTTATCACGATGGAAATCAAATCTCCAAGATAACAGGGAAGTTTAAATTTGAGTCCAACGGAAACATTAGGGATAGGATAATTATCACGAGATAATTATTTGCAACCAATTCTATCTTTAGTGATTTCATTTATCTCCATAATCGGGTATTGAGCATCTAGCCCAATGGGCTGATTTCCTACAAATACCCAACACAATTGGGTTACATCAATTGTGGTGTGGGTCCAATATGTTCTTCAATATTATGCTTATAGCCTATGAAGTTAAACAGGCCTCGATTTTCATCATTACCTAGGGGATTTGGGTATCACTTACCAAAAAATACCCAACAACGAGCATAACAAAGTGGTCGCAATGCAGATGATCTAATCGAGCATTTTACATTTGAGAAAGAAAAAAAAATCCAAACTTGTATTTCGATCACGAGATTGATTTGTATAGGAAGTTGGTTCGATTTTTTGGGGTTGATTCGGCGTCAAGAAGATTGTGTGTATAGTTCGACGATGTCGTTGTGTTCGACACAACCTGCAACACCAATAAATACTCGATGATTTTTGCCCCATTTGTTGGAGTGAACTACCATGGACAGATAATTATTTTCGCTTGTGGGCTATTGAGTGACGAAATAGTTGAATCATTTTTTTGGCTATTCTCAAAGTTCCCTGAAGCAATGCCAAATCATTCGTCACCGAGGGTTATCATTACTGATCAAGATGCTGCAATTTCAAAAGCTATATCAATTATTCTACCCACTACATTGTATCGTTACTATTTATGGCACATACTTTACATGTTTTCGAAGAAGATCAATGCTAGATTATACAACGAGCAGTATCACAATTTGGTAAACATCATCAAACAATCTGGGACACTCAAGGAGTTCGAGAACCGTTAGAATGAGGTAATGGAAACTACACAACTGGATTGTAATGAATGGCTCAGTAACATGTGTGAGATACATTTTCATTGGATACCTGTATATGTGAAATAGGTTTTCAGTACAGGCACATCTAGTAGCCAAAGATTCGACAGTGGCCACTCATTTATGAAGAAATACATCAACCGAAAGAATTCTTTGATTGGTTTCATTACTCGTTTCAACAGGGCACCAGTACATCAACGACATGAAGAGTTGTTGCTAACCACATCGATCTTACTGAACAACCAAGACTAACATCGGTTGGCATAATGGAACACCAGATGGTCCAAATTTACACAAAAGATTTTCATGTCTTTCAGAAGGAAGTTGAGCAAAGTAATTTTTACATTTTCTCAAAGAGCTTAGACTCCGTTGATGCTAAAGTATATGGGGTGAAGCAATTTGAGCCGGGGAAGACTTTCGAACGGCAACATCTACTTACCTATTTCACAAATTCGGATTTTATCACATGCCGATGTGGGATGTTTGAATTTAAAGGTTATCCGTGTCGACATATACTTAGCTATTTGAAGAAAAAAAAAATTTGCTTTTACTGGAGAAATGCATTCTACAAAGATGGACGAAGAATGCCAAGATTGGGTCAGTTGATGAACCTATGGGAGGGTCATTTGTTGATGATGATTATAGGTAGTCAAGAATGATATGACATGGGATGTTGTCATACAAGGCTTCTGTGCTAGTCGACGAAGCTTCTTTAACAGATACTCGCAACACCTATTTGTTGGCGAATTTGATAAGTTGCATAGCAACCTGAAGGAGATCGATAACGGAGGCAATGTCGTCATGAACAAGATTGGAAGCAAAAGTTGCGAAGAAAGTCAAGTGGTAGGTGATCCAAATGCAGTTAGAGCAAAAAGGTGTAGAAAGCGACTGAAATCGTTGAAGGAAAAAGCTATTTCTAAGGGTAGTAGGCAATGTTGTTCATGTGGTGGTCATGGCCATGACAAACTAACATGTATCAATTTATAAAACAGGTAATTATTTTATTTTTTTCCTCGTTACTAGTATGTCATGTAACTCATCCAACATTATTTCCATTTTCTCAAGTCGAATTTGGTGGACGAACAATATCATCCCAATTTGAATCATGAGCTTGACGATTTTAGAGAAGACATATACAAGTATTTCCAATAGCAATTACGACGTCGAAACAAGATTTTTTTATCCGTAATATCGTTTATACTTTCTAATAATAATTTTTTAGAGATGCTGTAATATTTGCTTTTTATGTTTGTTATTAAAACTTGTAAACATTTTTGTTAAATTGCGCAAAAACTGTCAACAAATAAATGATATTGCAAAATCGTTAATACGTGTACAATTTCACAAATATTATACATTATTACATATTAATTGTGATATTTAGGTGGTTGGAAAATTATATTTATTGAAGGGATTAGGTGGGGGCAGGATGGGGGAAATAACAAAATTTCAAAACCCATGGGAAGTGGAAATTAGGGATGTCAATGAGCCGAGCCGGCTCGCAAGTCAAAACTCGAGGCTCAAGCTCGGCCAAATTTGAGGCTCGAGCCGAGCCGACTCGATTTTTTTATTATTTTTTATTTTTGTTAACACGGCCTTTAAATAGACAGCTTTGTGCTGCATATTTAAAAGGCAGCTACTGTCTTTTTTTTTTTTAACACGGCCTTTAAATAGACAGCTTTGTGCTGCATATTTAAAAGGAGGCTTTTTTTTTTTTTTTTTTTTTTTTTTAGCCTACCCGAAAAGTCACACTGGTTAGCTCGAGCCGATTCGGCTCGGCTTGGGCTTTTTTCGAGGATCGGCCCGAGCTTTTTTCGAGCGATGTCATAGGCGGTCCAAACCTACGAGTCAAATTGCTATCCATAGTGGGAATTGATAGTTGAATTAGTGTGAGAGGAAAAAAAAGTCAAAATAGCAACCCATTTAAAAACTAAACGTCAGTAGTGGACAAAGCGTTGAGCAGGAGAAACTTAAATTGTGCAAATTGTGCCTCTAATCCCATATATGCCAATAATATAATTGCTTATCACCAATATAATACTAAAACGACATGTAGTCGACATGTTAATTACATTCTTTAAAATTCTTCATTTATAGCATAAATTTAGTTTTATACTTGTTCTTAATTTTTAATTTTAATTTTAATTTTTGTTGAAATCTTATAATTATGAGTAGCATTTGTTATATAATAATAACTTTGAGTTAAGAAAGAAAGAAAAATAATCATGGTAGAGTGTCGATATTCGATACGTACACACCATCCTAGTTAGAGAATCTGTGCAATAGTGTTGGTCTCAACCTATTCCTTAAGTAGCAACTTGGTCAGCATTCTTTCATTTCTTTTCTTTTTTTTTTTTGATAACCCAGGTGTCCCAGCTTAGCCGGACTAAATCCTGGACCTCTAACCCCCGGCCCCTCAGTGATTAGTGGAGGTAAATCGCAGGTTGTGCCCTTGTTAGTTCCCAGGTTCCCACATGGCTTTTACTCCTTCCCCAAAGGGACCCTCCTCCATGGTTATTACATCACCAAACTGCTCCAACCCTTCTTCTGGTTATTACATCACTTGGCTGCTCCAACCAGGAATCGAACTCCCCACACTTGGTTCCAGAGCCCCCCAACAAATAAAGCATTCTTTCATTTCTCAAGGACATTAAGAGTCCAAGTCTTCGTCACATCGTCAAGTGTAGCCGATTGTCCAACTTTATGAAACTAGATTTTGTTTACAAACGTGGGCTGATGCTTTATTGAAACAAAGCATGGTTTCGTGAGCGCCACATAACAATTTGACAGAGATTTGGACGATTTTTTTTGTAAAGATTAATTGTGCTGCAATGACAAAGAGGTTAAAAACCAACTTGCTAATCAGATTATAGGTTAATAATGAATCATGCTATTTTCCCAAAGTAATCTCTCTCTCTCTCTCTCCCCCTTCTTGATGGAAGATTGTACATGCAGACTAAGTCTCAAGTTTTAATTCATAGTCTTGACGAAGACTTTTACTTCTTTGAGAGCCGGCCTCAAATGTTACACTGCCTTCAGGTGTGAACTTCGACTTCGAAATTTATTTATTTTTCCCCTCCTTATCTTCATTCTCGGTTCTCACTTATATCGGTGTGTTTTTCCTTTATGAAGGTAGAGCTGTTGAAGAGGCCACTTTCGGGTAGAATTTTTCAAATGAATCAATTGAGTACCATGTGGATTCATCTCGGCTTGCTCATGAGATTGTTACTGTGTACGACTTTTAATGATCTCTTTATGAGTACAGTAATTTTTTCAGATGAATCTGTCGTGTTCAGTTACATTCTTGAGGCATTCAATATTCCTCTCCTTTAACTCGCAGGTTCTTATCGGTCGGGAAAAGATTACAGGGGATGATATTGAGCTTATTTGAGGAGTTTTTGCATGTAGATAAACAATGCAGCATATGCAATGATATGTGGGTAAAAATCCTCGAAGATGAAAAGGCAGAATTTCCCTTTTAATAAATCGGTATTTTTGCATCTAACTGTATAAAGATGACAAATTTATGTAAAGGATATTTTGTATTATGTATCTATATAACTTAGGCCTTGTTAGGCGGGACTTTTGCTTTGTGTAGAGGCAGAAATATGATCCACATATCCATTGAACCAGAACCTTGAATTCAATTTAACTATGCATGCAAGGAAGAAAATGAAATGCCCTGGATTATTGAAGTACACATTTCCAAAAGAACCTGGCAATTTATAAACCAGATGCCAAGAAATTTATATTTACATCCAAATCCACCGGAAACACCTCTGATATACACAGATTCTAATCCTAATCCCACCCCCGATTACTCGTAAAATTTCTAGTCGCAAACAGCTAGTTTTCTTGGTTGTTAGCCTGATGCTACATCCATATCTATAGCCATCCATCTTGATGACACAGAATCAGAGAAACAAACAAGAAATTCCTCAAGACCTCTACAACAGCGAAAAACTGAAGCTTTTTCCATTGAAAAACAAATTAAAAGGAAAAAGCAGGGATGAACAAGAAAATGTGAAATTAATTTAATTTTAATCTTCACCAACTTCCAAGTTAAAGCATCTCCTTCAGTTGTCTGTCGAAGATAGAGGAAGCTTGCTTCCTGCTCTCATTTTTTTCACATCTTGGCTAGAATAGATGAAAATCCTCTGCACCTTATCACAGAATTCTCTGCAAGAAAATAATAGTATCATATAACCGTTGAAGTAGATGATATGTCTAGATGAAAAATACAAATAATACGTACAGCCATGGATAATCGCGCATAAGCATCATGTCTCCTTCGTCATCAGTGAAAACAATCTCCCAATTATGTCGGAGCTGAAGCTCACCCTTTATTTCGAACATCTCTTCAATTTCACTTATAAGCTCATCGTATCCCTTTAACGCAGTTAGGTCCACAGCACGACCCACAGCAACACCTTGCATTTGAACCTTCTCAAAGTATTTCACACCAAAGAAACAAATAGTTATTATTAATTACTCTTTCAATTCAGTAAACGCTCAATCAATAATACTTTGTTGTTAAAAGTAGAAGGTGAAATTATACCTTGGTGCGACTTCTAGTGGAGTGATTCTGTCTGCTAGGAACCTCCTTTACTGGTACTTGTAACTGCTGCCGTTGATTTGAGACGCATCCTTCAGAAGCATCATTTAGTTTATCAACTGATTTTAGAGAGGATTTCTCGAGAAGGGCAGCACCCGTCAAAGGGCTGTTCAAATCAATACCAAATAATCTGCAAGTTGCAGACGCATCTAATTTCCTCCCATCATTCAGGCAAGAAATGCGACTATTACTCCGTTTTCCAGAATTTGGGGCTGAACAGTTTGAAAAAATAGACCAAGCCGATGCACTTTTGCTCTCTTCTGTTTCTTCAGAAAACATATTAAGAGACGAATTCACATCAGGAGATAGCCAGTCTCCCTCTAAAAGAGTTCCAGAAGTGTTGCCGTTTCTGTTTCTGATGAGAGTGCCACCAGTGTCAACTTGTTCACTCCTTTGTTCTTCAAGAGAGCCAATTACTTGATGTGATTCGCGGGACGGATTCCACACAGCTGATGCTGTTGAACTTGGAGTATCTACCACATAGGAAATAGCAACAAAATTAAATGAAGTCCTAATACATAAAAATGCTAGAAAGTTTGGGAAAAAAGGGTATGCAAGAATGTTGAACCAGGAACTGGGGTTTCAACATGCAATCTTGGCCTTTTATTTTTTGCTGCCGATGGTTGAACCAGGCTTGTGGGAACTGAAGCCACAAATGGTTCTATCTCCCATGGAGAAACCCTTTCAGGTCTTGGAATGGATGCAGGTTCGTCCCACTGAACCTGAAAACACGAGAACAGCATAGAGTTTGAGTAATTCCATATGCTAATTTAATCAAAAGAACATCAAGAAATACACTAACCTTCAGTGATCGCCATTTAGAATCTTCCCAGTGAGGAGAAATATCTTCGACTCCTGTTATTGTACCTGAGAACCTGATAATGTGGGAAAAAAAGGGACAAATTAGATCAATTCCATGACAATAGCAATGAGATTTACTTTTGAATACATGGCAAGTGGCAACCTCTTCTCTGGAGAATCCTCGACCTCAAACTGCATCTTGAATCTCATGCCAACTCCAAAACCATGGTTTAGAGCTTCAAGATATTTGTTCAGGCCTATGATGAATTGACTTGTTCTGAAAGTTTAACACACAGCTATGCACGTTATTTAAAAAGTAATTCTCATATACGGACATCATTCCCAGTGTACAAAGAGTGAATATCAAACCTCGGTTTGTAATAAACAACAAAGAGGGTCTTGCTTGCTACAGCATGGGATGCAGTTGCAAGCACTCCGAGGTGCATGCTCTGACTTGAAATCACTGACGATGGCAAGGAGCTCTGTTGACAAACATGATGTCTAACTCCAACATGTAACTCCCCATTCTCTCCCCTAGAATAAGAGTTCCAATAAGACGATAACAACACATAAGAAAAAGGAAAACCGAGGCTTCATTGACAGATACAACTTATAATCACTGAAGAGTGTGTAAGTTCGACAAGTACCTCAAAAATACAAAAGAATCTCCAGCGACTAATTTCTTAGAAGTGACGAAATTACTCCATCCCGTTGTAAGCAAGTGCCTGCTAGGTTTGCCTGTTCAGTTTGGAAGATATAAACATGAATTACCATCCATGAAAATGGAGTATTTGATATCAACATACTCAACTCAATAGATGCCCATTTATTTGATCAGTATTGGCATAATGGCATTTATGGTCAAGTAATACGTTTGTAATGAGAAAGCATGTTTGTGTAAGCTTAAATTGTTAGTTACAAGCAAATAAGTTAAAGGATTAAAACGTTTGTTTATTGGTCAAAGTTGAAAATAACTTAATATTTTAGATAGTAACGTAAATGTTACTTTCAACATAAGTAATTTTTTTTTTTTTACTTGAACGTAGAAAAAGGTTATCTGAAGATGTTTGGAAATATTAAAGTAACTATCGCCCTTTTAAGCTTAGCCAGCCAATCTCAGATCCCTTAGTCTAGCTATATCAAAGGAGCTCATTAGGAAGGAAGAAATAAAGCATCACCTCTATATATATGCTTAAACTGCCATTTAATCCCATGCAGATCCTTGGCCACGAGTTCCTGGGTCGGTGTCTGCTGGGTCATATCCTAACCCAAGAACATTCATAGTCAAAATAAACTAAAAATCAGTTAACAAATTCAATGCCAACCAGCAGTACAAACCAAAAAAAAAAAAAATTAATGAACCTCCCGAGAGAGGAATTATTACCAAGGGTGGAAGGCATTCATTTGCATGCCTACGAAGGACAGAAAATCCACCATGAGTACTTGTGTCGGAAGCCGTCAAAACCTTGCAGAATGAGTGAACAGTAGGCCTAGGAGGATCCAGAGCACATCGATCTAGACTTTTTGGCTCAGTTTGCTACAAATTGTTTCATCCAAACGTAACTCAAACTATCATAGATTGCCTACTAATAAATTGCAAGCTTGATCCCTAAAAATTATGAGAGCAAGCAAATATAACAATTTTTCCAATAAAAAAAAAAAGCGAGACGTTTTCCTTACATCTAATTCTGGCATCAGAGTAATTTGTGCATAAACCTCATCGGTTTCTCGTTCAGCCTACAAAACACCGCATCATGATTTGTTAACCATTCTACAACTAAATTTACCATTGCAATAATTTTGGTTGCTAAAGCATAAAAACAAAATTTTCTGCAGTTTTTACAGCAAGTGTTTATGAACTAAACTAAACTAAACTAAATCGAGGTTTTCGTCTGGGAAAGACAAGTTGCGTAGAGAAGGTGAAATTTTCTCGCCAAAATCTCACTAGACTGCCCTTTTTTGCGCCAATGTTTCAATATACACATACTACTTTCTCACCCCTAACCAACCCACGATTTTTCTTACAAAGTCGATCTGCTGCAATTTTCTTCCTCACCCCGAACCCAAAAGAGGACCAATTTAACATTTTTACCCGGGATCTTTTTAACCTTTAGCATAAAAAGAGGACTTACAAATTTTCTCCGCAAGATTTCACATCACAATTAACAAAAGAATAATTAAGAGCAGGATTGATAGGACCATACCAGTAGCTGAATGTTCATAACACGGCAAAGGATCTTTGAGGGAAGATTGAACATTGTTGTCCTCTGACTTAACTCCTGATTTGTTGATGCTTCCAACTAAACAAACCCCAAAAAAAGCACAAGTTTCAACTCCAAATTAAATCCCATAAATTCCCACATACAGAAACTCAAGTTTATTTTAATTTCATGACTAAATATCCATTATTCCATACAAAGATCTGAACTTTCAGGCACCCACAGAAGAAAATTTAGAAGTAATAATATACTGACTTGTTCCATGTGACCTTGTGGGAAATAGTAAACTCTTTCTCTCATTTTTGGAATATCCACCAACGGACCTGCACAAGCCTTCCATAGCTCTGGATACAAAACATCCTCAACCCTATTCCCTGAAATTTCAAATGAAGAAGAAAAAACCCAAAATTCATTTCCCAAACACGAACAAAAACACTTTTGGGATAACCAAATAAAAAAAAATAACGATGATCAATTTAAATGTTTAACCTTCAGATGGAGAACTGCTTTTCGGCTGAGAAAATGACCTTGCCATGATTAAAGCTCCTCTTGTTTTGATAAAGAAACTGATCTTTAAATCCACAATCAAAGTTTATAATTGATAATGGCTAATATAAACACAATATAATACACCTTCTTACACTCCTTTCTGTACGAACTGAATACTCCTCATTACACAGTATTAAAAGCATTAAATACTACAAATGGAAAAACCCAGCATATAAATTCAATTGAAAGGCTAATTGAAAGCTGTGACGGTTACATTGGCGCCGGAATACCAGCTTCCATTAAGCAAAAATGTAAAGAGAGTACGTAAACATTTCAAAGGGGAGGGAGTGAACAAAACGCCGCTCAGTATCCCAAGAAACAGCTTATTATTCGCCTTGATTCGTTGCTCTCACCCTCTCTCTACATATATGATAATTGATATATGCGTATGTATATATTGCTTTCATCCAACGTGGGGTTAGGTTGTCTCCTTCTGCTCTACAGTGCATTTTGGACTGTGGAGGGTGGATTGGGTTGGGTTGGGGTGGGGTGGGGGTTCAGTAAGCGCTACCTAACCATATAGATATGTATAGCTTTGGACGGCTGTGACGACGACTTTTCTTGACGGAGAAGTGGGGTCAATCCTAGTCGTTGTCGTTCCGTTTTAACGGCGGCAGTTTAAGGTCGTGACCTTGCAGAAAAATTGTTGATCGTCAAAGGAAATTTGCACATTTGAACCCCGAACTAGTGAGGCAGTTGCAGTGTCATCCCTAACCAGTAACCATCTCTGTTTGGACTTTATATATGTGCGTCAAACTTTATATAATGGATTAGATAATCCCGTCTATCACTCCAGAATTTGCCAATTTGGAACTCTATCAAATTTTTCATCTAACATTTTTCCTCTACAATATTTTATGTAATTACTTATGTACAATTTTTATATATAAGTATCATAGTTCTTTCTGTTTTTTTCGGGAGCTTATTTCAACAAATGCAACACACTACCGAATGTTCAAAATGTTGGAACTAATTCCTTTGATACTTATCATCCTATTGATTTGCATTTAGCTTCAAACTATTTTTTAAAGTTAGTAATTAAGACAATTACATACTCGAAAATAGGTAGATCAACACGAAACAATATTATGTTAACATTAAAATTGATTTAAAAATCACTAATATGAGCTAGATCCTTGAAAGTGCTCAACAACCTATATTATTTTCATATTTAGACTAGGTCATCTACAAGAATATACTTACACGGGGGATTTAGTTCTAGACAGTTCAAGTTAGAGTTTTGGAGAAATTGAAATAATTTAGATAAGTCGACTCTATTTTATTGAGTAAAAAAGCTTTAAGCGAGTAAGCGAGAAATAAGAACTTTACCTATTTACTCCAATTTACATAATTTTCGCCATGTTGGAGTGGACGGCACACGATCGATAAGCCAGAAATAATTTCCCAATGCAAATAGCCCAACATAAAAGAGAAAAAATAAAAAATAAAAAATTAGTCCTGCACTGACTTTGACCTTATTTGATTTTTGGAAAATTCATAACTACGATATTAAAAGTGCGTTTGATTTATCATTTTGAGGTCATTTTCAGTTTTTAGTTTTCGAAAACACTCAAAACATATTTGTTATGTTATTTTCAAAAAAGCGGTTTAAAAACAAGGAAAATTCTATAATTCAAAATTCAAAACGATTTTTTGACATTTTGAGTATTTTCTCAAAAAAACTCAAAATAAGGAAAATGAGTTTAAAAATTTTCCAAATTAAAATAATTAATAAAATCACACAAAATTTATCCATATACTAATACCCCACTCCCTCTCTCTATCTCTCTCTTCCCATGCTCCTCAAAAATGTCATAAAATTATTTATAAAGTTTTTAAACCAAATGTCTTTTCTAATTTTTTGTTTTAAAAAATAGTTTTTTCAGAATGACAAATCAAACATTTTCTGTAACCTTAAAATAATCTTTCAAAATAGAAAATTGAAAATAAATTCAAAATTGAAAAACAGAAACGCAAACAAAACACACCCTAAGTATCACCAATTTCAAAACTAAGAATAAAGGTTTTGAATTTCAAAAATCAGATATCTATTAAAATTTATTTATGATTTAATTAATTAAATATATTAAGATCACAAATTTATACAATTTGATCACAAATTAATAATTTAATCACATATTATTTTTCGATCACAAATCAGAATTTTAATATGTTACAATTTGTTCATCGATTACAAATAAAAAATTTATAAGTCACAATTTATTTATTGGTCACAAATCACAAATATTATAAGTCACAACTTATTATGCAGTCACAAATTAACATTTTTTTATGTGACACAATATTTCTTTATCATAGTTTATTTTTTTCATTCATCAGAGATTAACCAATTTAATGGTTACAGTCAAGCAAATGATTTGTGACCACCACGTCACTACTGTCGCCAGCCACATCGCCACCAAAACTACCCCCACCCCACCACAACACAATTACTGCTAGACAATCGACATCACTGCCATGACCATCACCATCACTACTGCCATCAACTCTAGATCCACCACCACTACAGCCAATAAAACCACCCCAACATTGCCACACCGTGGGCACCACCACCTCGCTAGCATCACCATAGCACACACAAAATCACCACAACACCACCACTGTAGACCACAACCAAAGCACACCACCATCTATTCTATCTCCATCTATACCACAATCACCATCCCCACCAAAAAATCCACGAACCCGCCATCACAATCACCACACACTAACACTGCCTACACCACCAACATCTCAAAAACATGCCGCAAAATCACTGCAAAGCACAACAAAACGTTTAGTTTGGTCAACATGGAAATGTAAGAGTGATAGCTTGAAACCTCCACACCCATTGCAATGACATAGAAGCAACAAGTTGCGTTGTAATCCCACCGGAGAAAAGTTCAAAAGGTCATCGCACACGACCATTTGTGATTCGGCAAAACCACCGAAGTGCTGCGTACTATAAGACATTGAACGTCGCAATCTGTGACAAGTTAAGACCACTAGATCGTCGTTGCTCGCAAAAGCACAACTGTGTCACAGAGGCGCGGCGAGGCACCGCTCTGCAATTACGAGAAGCTGTGACGGCTCCTTTGATGCCACGCCTCAGCGCCGAATGTGCCATCTTGTCGGAGGTTGTGTGTTGTCGGAGAAGTGAGAAGGAAAACTATAAGAAATAAGAAAGTGGCAAACGATTTAGGGTTTGGGTTTTTGTTGGGGTGGGGGTTTGTGGGATAAGATGGGTTGGGTAGATTAATTTAAATTATTAATATTAGAATTTTAATTATATCTGATTTTTGAATAAACAAACTTTTGATCTGATTTTTTATGTTGGATCTTAAAACATATGAATGGTGTGTAATTTCCATTTTGAGATTTCGTTATATCCCATATGTTCTTATGAAGTTTGAAGTGCTAATGGGCTTATGCCATTATAACTTATAACTTACAGCGTGGACTTAAGCATCAAAGAAAAAAAGTATCAATTTATTAGAGAATATTTGCACTGAATTATCTGTGATTGAACTAAATAATTGATGAATTTGTCAAGTACTATTATTTTTTAGCTCCTATTCGATAGTCATTATTTTGAAAAATGGACTTCTGTAGTGATTTTTTTAAAAGTGTGGCTAAAAGGTATGAAAAAATTTAAATTTATATACAAAATATTTTATTATATAAATATGTGATTGAAAATAAATACGAGAATTAAAGAGTTTTAAAATAATAATTGTCAAACAGGTGCAAAAAAATTTTTTTTTTGGAGGAGGGTTTTTTTTTTTATGAAATTTTCCCCTCCCCCCCCCCCCGGGCCCCCTTCCACTCACTAATAAACAATGGAAAAATATAACATGTTATAAGTTGAAAATTAAACCAATTAAACGTATTTAATTAATAATTTTCATACAAATTAGACAATTGAATTGTCTAGAATTTATTTTTCCATGAAAATCTCATGCTCGCAATCAAGCTCGCCCTAATTTCAATTTTTTATGTTGTTGCAATATTAAGCCCATACTTGATAACCATTGAAATAAATTTTTTTCTTAAAATCATTTTAAATCATACATTTTCATAATAAAATATTATATACATAAATCGAAATTTCTTTTTCCTGTTTGGGTTTCATTTTTAAAATAATGCATTTTCTTTTTCTTATTTTAAACCATACATTTTTGAATAAAATAATATTACACACAAATTCAAATTTTTATTTTTATAACACATATTCTCTAAAAATTACTAATCTAGATCACATTTTCCCCCAAAATCTATTTTTAATGGAGCCCATTTTGTAGTAAATTTAAATAAATAATTTATTTATTTTTTGCTGTGAACTGACATGATATAAATAAATAATTAAAAGATGTTTTCTCGTGAGATTCAAATATCTTATTAATTTAGCCATTGTTTGAGCCACATTTATAGGAAAAAATACATTTTTAAATAGTGTTTGATATCATTTTAATCAAATATTTTTAATAAAATAATATTACATGCAAATTCAATTTTTTTTTTAACTTTTTAACTACACATTTTTCATCAATACACTATTCGAAAATGCATTTTTCCTCAAAATGGGACTTAAACAAGAATTAATATAGGCTGAATATATTCACACCATAGATTTTAATAATTAGACTACATATTAATTGCATGAAATATTTATCACCTTTACACATTATCATATTTATGTCTCAAAATTTTTTTATCGCATTCTTATTCTCAAATTGACAAACTTTGCTTCTAATTATGATTTATTCACCGAAGTTTCTTTAAGATAAAGTAAGACTTATTTTTTTCATCGTGTTTTTAAATAAAAAATAAATAAAAATGAAGTAAATAATTAAATATTTGAATCTCATTTGAAAGCATGTTAACAATATTTTTGGACGAAAACTATGATTAAGGACAAGATTTTCTAATCAACGAAAAAAAAAAACAGAGAACGTGATGAAGAAAATAAATTCAAGGATATAAGTGTGATGCTAAATAAATATAAAAACAGATGGTGTCGCCCCCAGGGCACATTCGAATTGGTGGAACAATCACTATGGCGGGTTTGCAACCTCAGCGTAGAGAGTTCGATTCCTGATCAACACAGTGATAAGGATTCTCTTGGGGTCAGGAGTATAAATTAAGTGGGAACTTCGGAGCCAATAAGGGCATAAATTGCAATTTACCTCCTCCAGTCATTGAGGGGCCGGTGGCTAAAGGTCCATGATTGAGTCTGGTAAAGCTGGGATACCTGGATATATATATATATATATATATATATAAAGATGGTGTGTATATAATCATTATTTATTGTATTTTAATCATTTATAATTTTCTATAGCATCGTTTAAGAATATACCAATTTGTCCTGCATTTG